TCAAACTGGTGGGTGAAAAGGTATATGAAATGAAAAAATTTGAATAAGAAATATGGCACAACAAGCCACAGAAATTCAATAATTTTCTAATAACTGAGAGACATTAAAGTCTTTTAATTTCGAAGTTTTAGAGCCTGAATTATTTCACTCACTCTGTTAGAAAATAGAGACTAAACGACAGTATATAATGCCAAGGCAATACAAGAGTATGTGGGGCTTTTTCTAATCCAAACAGCAATACTAAATTCTAAGGTATTTATAAATTCAAATTGCCGTATGAGGTGACAAATCTCATGCTTAAAAATTAAAAGATAGTCAAAACAATTCTATTTGCATAATTTAATAAACCAGAGACATTCTGGCAAAGCAACAAAGGACTGGTGATATGAAGAAATCTGGTGGAAAATTAAAATGCAATGTATTTTATAAGGTTAGGGACAATTCATACATTAAAGATACACACATCATTATATGATCCCTCTTCATTTTTGAGACTCGCCTTTTTATGTAAGACATTGTATCAGTGATTAATTAAAATAAATTCCTTACAAACACAATATGAACTGAAGAAAAGGCATGTAAAATTCCTTGGTAGAGGAAATGTTTAAATTGGTTTATTTCATCTGAATTCTTATATTCACCAATCAAATTGAAATTCCTGACATAGAGAAATCTCTATCAAGATTTCCATTTCAAATCTGACGGGATTATCATTTGCCCTTAACAATTCATACTTCACTGAAATTTTATGCATATTGTTTCAGACTACAATTATATATTGATTTAATTTCTATACAATGGCTTTATCTGCTTTTAAATACACACGATGTATGCATTAAAAGAATCCTGAATTAATATACATAGTGCCATGCTACCAGCTAAAGTTTTTTTTTACATCTCTTATTTGTTAGAATGCGTTTCAGTTCTGAAACACGTTGTAATTGGCAAGTGATTAATCCATTACAGAATCTAATTGCTTTTGTTACTTGAGAAAAAAATAAAACTATTATGTTAAGAAGCTTTTAAAATAGCCCATTGCATGTAATTAGTATTATTTTAATGGAATCTAGTTAGGATTTTCATGACATGCCTACATACCTATTAACATGGCAAATCATTGGCATCTATTTGGTATATTATGAGTCTTTAAAAAAAATTCTAAATGCAGGGCAACAAAGTAAAGCTCAATATTTACTAAAACCATCATCCACATCTACTCAGTAAATAACATGGGCCAGTTAGCACTCAATTACTCTAGAGTAACTATGGGATTTGCACCTGCAGAACAAGCCAGCAACTGGACTTGCTTTTACATTTATATTTGTATACATAGAATGTGAATCCTGTTGTCTTTAAAACTGATTAATGAAACTGGCAAAGTTCCTACTAACTGCCACAAAAGAACACTTGAATCTATGATTTTCTTCAGACACTTAGCCGACAGACATCCTGAAAACACAGTCACGGGAACACTCTCCTGGTGTGGTTTGAGTGACCCAGATGAATTGTTCAGAGCTAAAAGTGTGCAAGGATCTGGGCCAAGTTTGTTGGTCAAAATTCATTCACAGTTCTGAAGGTGTAAGAGCAGTGTTCATTACTATGATGCTATATGCAATGGGAATAAAATAACCAGCATTAAGGGCATGGCCCATGGAGACGCTCTGGTTTTCACTCCTAAGATTTTAATTCTTCTCTTGTCTCCACCACTATCTCAACATGTCTATGGCTCTTTTTTTGGTTTTGTTCTTTTTTTTTTTCTTGCTTTCAGATCTTACACAACCTTTGTTTTCTCTTTATTTTTTACTTCTGTTTGCCTCAGGTGTCTGGAAACAGAAACAACAGGTACTGAAGTCCTATCTGTTTAAACTGTAACACTGATGCATTGCCTCATGCTGTGTATCATAGACAGCACTGGAGGGTCCATGATAGCTTCAAGTTTCCAGGTATTTAAACAAAATAAAAAATAAGAGGTGAGTCTGCTCTGTAGAAGCTAGGCACACCACCAACTCCGAGCTCTTCCCCTCAGTGCCCAAACTGGGATGCTAATCTTTCGGAACTTTCTATGCAGTCAATGGAGTGAGGTGCTTTCACCAACTTAATTTTAGAGATCCCAGCATCCTGCCCTAAAGTGCCCTGCAGACAAACCTGTCCATCTTAGCTGTCTATTAGCATACCTAATTACAAGCTAAAATCAAGCTTCAAACTTAGCTGAGAGCAAAGTACCAACTAAGTCATGCAAGGTTTCACTTCCCTTCCCACTAAGATTTGGCACAAAAAAAATATCAAAAAGATTGAAATGATATAACTAGCTGTTACAGCTGTTACCCTGCCTAGTCCCAGTCTTGTGTTTTCATTCACCTCAAAAGAAGCATCAATGACATGGAAGGTCTGCTTGGTCCCCTACAACTGAGGTACAACATATATGACAAAACTTTCCTTTAACCTTTGCCCAATATTTTATTAGGAGAACAAGATTTCATCCTCTGAATCTGTCTCAAAATTTGAAAGGATCTGTGCATTTCAGTTCAAGTTTAATGTACTACCTGAACATGGTTTTCACTGTCACATTGGTATAACAAGGATGAAATTACAATGAACAAAAAAAATCCCCTGAAATTCCAGACACCTATATACTTTACAGAAGAAATAGAATTCTGAAGAGCTCTGACTACATCTAGTGGAAGCAAATACATTTCATTCCTAATAATAAGCTAGTCTGATATTGTGAATGAAAAGGTCTTAACCTCATTAAAATGCTCTGTAGGTTTAAACTGAATTGAGTTAGGCATCGGCTGAGATATGCAATTCCCTGAACATATGAAATTTTTAAGACAGTCTGATTTACTTGGAAGAAATGTTGGAGGGTCTTTCCCACCCAAACAGCAAAATAGAAAAAAAAACCCCGAATATAAATTGCTTCAGATTCTTTCAAAAAGGTAAATTTACTAGGTGTTGGTTGAGATAAAAATATTACTGCTCTTTTAGAAAGTAGATACGCATGTTGTAAACCTCAATAAAGAACTTTGTGTTCTTACATTAAATAAGACATATATTGGTTAAATATATTTTGATTAGTGGATTGGCAATCAGGGTGACAAGAAAACATAAAAGTCCCACAAATTCTATAGTAGAAAAAAAAAGGAATTCTTGATGTATTTCCAAATTTTATTCTTTGCGCATCTGCCCAAAATTTCATTTAATTAACAGCTCTGAGATTCAGTCTGTTCGTGTACTGACATACCAGAATCATGTCAAGAAAGCAAAATATGGAATTAATGTCTTAAAACTGCATGTAATCTTTCCAAACCTCACATCTATTCCTTCCCCTTCCCCTAAAAGAGTGATTTTACACAAACACAGACACTAACACAAAAGTTAGAGCAATTCAGAAGAAAGTCAGATTTTTTCTAAGCTAAAGAGTTTCTGTATGTTTCAAGACTTTTGCTTTTGAAATCTGCACAGAAATTCCATGCAGTGTAAAGAAATGTATGTAGCTACAATCTTGTAACTAGAAAGGACATTATAATCATGTCATTTACGTGCTGACTGGCTGTGAGATTTCTGAGAGAAAAGAAGGATTTATTTCCATTTATTAATTACTAGTGAGGCTTGCATTTAAGTGAAGAAAATGGACAAAAGAAAACCATGGTCTGAAATGAGAAGTCACAAGTGAATTTGAAAATAATTATTTTGGTTACTTTCTATAAATCAGTGTTCCAATCTAACCAAACCCTTCAAATTGCCACAAAAACATTACTGCTTTTATCAGTGGGAAAAAAAAAGGTTAGGAAAACAAAATTGAACAATTATTTTATGGTTTATATTGTTTAAATATAGCTCAAACTAATTTTTATATCATGAGTATCACTTTTCTTGCTCTAATTTTTTAAATATTTTCTGGACTGGCCACAAAGCTTCATTCACTGCTAAGAAAAAAGGCATGTGAGTGGCCTGAGTGGCTCTGTTCAGTATCTTTTCCTCTTTCAAACAAATGCCTTAACCACAAATGTATAATTTCAATTCAATTCATACACCCCATATGCCCTCATTACAAAGCAATAATCAGATCTGGTGTGAAATATGTGCTCTTATAAGCACCACAAGTGCTTTAAAACCTGAAAAAGTCAAGAATGAAAAAAAATATTAACAGTTTCAGGAGAATTTAACACTGGTCTGAATATCTCCCTCTATTCAGAAAAGGGATAGCCCAAACATCAGCCGTTTTATCTCCTACAATAGGCTGCTGCATGAAGTATGTCAAATGAAAAGCACAGCACAAGAGAAAAATATGTGCAATCTAGAGCTGTTAAATTTTCAAAGTATTGCACAAGAAATTGTGCAATGACAAATGATTCAGGAAAGGAATGGTGTTTATACAGATGCACAACAGTACTGAACATTGAAATTCCAGACACAGAAATGTAAAGACTGAGGTCTAAATTAATTTGAAGCACATGTAGTACGTGTAACATATGCTACTGTGTATATTATTATAAATAAACAGCTAAAGTTTTTTTAAAGGAGATATCTCCACATACCATGGTTTAGAAACTGAAGTAAGGGTATTTATAACTACAGTATAACATTTGAACCCTGAAGACTTCTTATGACTGGTTTGTCTTAAGCTTTGACCTTTGAATCTAACCTGATTATTGAACTTAAAATGTTCAGAAGCTTGTTTTGGTTCAGTTATAGAATACATTAAATAACAGAAGAACATGAGCACCAACATGTAAGTAGGGCCAAATTTTAATTTGCAACACATGAGCAAGAGAACTGTATGCAAAAATTGAGAGAAGATTGACAATGAGAATAAGTCTCTTCAGCAAAAATGTGAGTTAAATTTTGTGTGACATTCAGAAAAAAAAACAAACCTGAATCTGAATGGCTTCTAGAATGTCTAATTGCTAACTTTTATCTTTGTTTGGCTTATCAAGGTCATGCCATACAACTTGTTTACCAAATCTCTTCACTAAATTATGAAAAATTACAGATATTACCTTCTGTGTCTTGCATATTTGCCACTAACATGACCACTGCCATCACAGCCAGGCGTGGGACAGCTGCAAAAGAGAGAATTAATTATATAGGTGCTGGTGTGCTGCAGAAAGATATACTAAAAGCAGGCAGGCAGTTAGGTATTACAGAGATGGAGGGCAACCAAGACAGGAAGAGAAATCAAATAACTGAAGGGAAAAAAAAGAGGGGATGCTTTTTATTAGGAAGTCTCAAGGGAATTAATTTCATCAGTGCAGCAGGGCATGAGCAAACCACCAATGAACTTGAAAGTGCATTATACCCATTAAAAGGCATGAATTTTCTAAATTGCTAATGGGGATACATTTTACACTCAGAGCACTAACCTGAACAGCTCTTGTATGGCTGGTTCCACGGGAACTGCAGAGAGATGGAAAATATATAAAAATTTATCATCTATTACAAGTACCCCTCTTCTACAGAAAATTACCAGAAAGGTTGTGTAAAAGCAAGGGTCAGAATGAATTGTGCAAAGAGATTCTGGAGGATGAAGGTCACCCTGAGCAGGGGCCCTGAGTGATTTACTGAAGCAAGAGACGTACCTCGAACACCTTTGGAGCGTGTGCGATGGCGCTTCTCGTCTGCATCCACCTCCATCTGGGAATAGATTAGCAGGCAGTCAATGTTCTTATCCTGCATGCACAGACTATCAATGCACAGACTGATACAGTCTCTCTCACAATTTATTGACACTATTTTAATTCCATTTTATCCTGTAAGGGAAAGTTCGCCTTACAGGGGATTTTTAGGATCTTCATGTTTATTTAAAAACAGAAAATGCAGTAATTTCTGCTTAAAACAGTCAGTTTCTGTGCCCTGCTTTCATAGCAAACCCCATGCAACAAAGTGCAGGTTCCACTTTTTGAAGGGATATTTCTGACATAAACCCCTGATTACTCCCATATATTTTGAAACAAGAATTCAATAGATTTCTATACAGTTTAAAGTCAGGGGGTCACACACCACAGGTCACTGCCTAACCAAACCCTTTGCAGTGGGAAAGAAGAAGAAATAATGACTAAAAAAAGAGATAAAGAGTCATCATTAGAAATTCAAAGACTTCATGTTATTTAATATGTCATCACAATCTTTGCTGACATGTTTCATTGTTTAGCTGTGTTTTTCAAGTTTCAGGAATGTGTTCACCAGCTACATGACTATATGCTTAAGTATAAACATCTTGCCTATCCAATACGGCTTTCTATACAGTAATAAATACATAGACATCTTAAATATTTACCATGTAAGGGCAGGGCTGCAGATTAGACCTCAGGAAATATTACAAACACCAGCCTATAGTAGTTAACATAGGGCCACATCATTTCTTCTCATTTTTGTGTACTATGGACACCAGACTTTAAAAGCTAAACTGCATAGGCTAGCTAGAGTTTAGGACTTTGCTCAACACAAGCAAATTGCACTGAACTATGCTGAGAGACTGTGTCAGGGAAAATATATGCAGTATCTGTATCACCAGCAACTCTGGATGCAGAAGAATGGGATGGCAAGATGGATCATACATAGAGATGATACTGTAAAGGTCAGGAAGCACAGAAATAGACCACGGAGTTCTAGCACCCCAGGGAAAAAAAAGTCTATCACCCAGTTTATAGCGATATCCTTGGATTGATATCTGGTAAGAATGTCATATATCTCATACGAAAACATGGAAACAAGTCCACGTGACTTGCAGCTATCCCTTTAATCACCTAGCTTGCTTTGGTCGTACCTTAACACAAATGATGTGGGAAGTAACTAAGAAGGGAGAAATCAAGGGGTGTTCTTACAGAGCTCCCTCAACACAACATCAGGGGGAAAGAGACACATCAACAAAATTTGTGGGTGACGGGGATTTGGTGAAAAGAAAGTGTCACTCTCACAAGGCTCTGTGCTATGAATGCAGATCTGCTTTTTGGCAACCATAATCTGCTTCCTGGTAGTGTGATTTATTCCACACTGAAGCGATGATCTTCTAAAATAAACAGATATTATAAAAGCCAGTAAAGCACCAGCCTCTATTAGGTGGCTTCAGGTCAATGTTCTGATGGGGGCCTTCGCATAACTTTGAGTGGGTTTCATTTTTTAATTAAGATACCTACATATAGCTTTGCACACATGTTTGGAGCGTAAGCTTCCGTCTCTGTCAATCAGTGATGCTATCTGATATCCTGTAAGGTATCCCCCATCAAGCCTTCAACTGCCAGTCCAGAAAGGCACAGATGGGTACAGATAGATCCTCTGCTGTATCTACCAACTCCATGCAGGGCTTCAGGCATCCTCTGGCATCAGAAATGACACCAACTGCCTATGCTTGGGCAACTGAGCCTAGCCCTAAGTTAACACAGCCACCAGAGCTTGACGAACAATTCCTCTGATCAGCTATTAGGTGTTACTTCAGGCTGGCCAGAATCAGTCTCTAGGCACCTTTGCCCATACTGTCTAGCTCTCCATTGATTATTGCATGAGACAGTTAGCATGCCTGTATATAGCTACTACAGGCACCTAAACTGAATCTTAAACTTTAACCTATCCACTGCTCTCTATCCTACACCTTGAGTTCACACCCTGGCTGGTTTCTTAGCTCCAATGACTTGAGAGGTATTTGAAGTTTTTCAAGGTGTCATATCAAAGGACAAAACAACATCTCTGGAATATAAAAATTACCCACTAGGTGATTATATTATTTTCCTTTTACTAATAAGAAACCAGTACATTGTGTTATTCTGTAACTCTTGTGATGTGTAAGGACTTGACAGGAAACCAGAAGTGAAGTTACTTGATCTTCAGCCTAGTATGTTTTTAAAATGTTTGAAAAACATTATCTAGCCTCATTTGTCACCACTGAAAAATCTGCTGAAAGAACTATTATGATTCTAACCTGAAATGCTGCCCCAGTTGTTATGATAGTCTGTGTACATTTAGAAGGTGCAAACTACAAAACAGATTTGCCTGTCTTTCTAAACCAAAGTAAGCACATCAATTCCAGAATGCTGAAGGTACACTTTTAACTACACTGACAATCAAAGAAGAAATCATTAAGCTGGAAAGGCCCCTATAGGATCCACACAATCCAGACCCAGAAACAGCTCAAATAAGTGAAAAACAAAAGATTGCAAAAGTTGCAGGCATGCAGTGTTATTTAAATTTTGCTGTGTATCCTACATAGATTGCTGCATCTCCAGAAAGTCACAGATCTGCCTGCCTTTGTCTGTGCCCTAGATGCCATCATATATCTAGCTGTATGTGTCTTGAACACATGAAATGATGGTAGGTGCCTACATTTAGCCAATGGAATCTTGTTTGGACTTTATTTATATGCTCACTCAGAGCTCTTCAAGACCTTGTCTGGTCAAAACTTCAGCCTTCATCCCTTCATGTATTACATGCTGGATGCTGGGAGGAAGCAATTTCCTGACGTTCCACGTGAGACATACACTGGTTGTGGTGACTGACAGTCACCTGTCAGCCTACCACAGCAGTCCTCAGAGGCACCCCAGCACTTCCATAGCCAGGAACGGAATTCTGCTCTTGAATCTCACACAAACACAAACACTTGGTCTCAGGAGCTCACCTCAGTAGTTGTACTTTATTCATGACATTTACATTACAGTTCTGAATAATACTTAGACACTGCTCCAGAAAAGAACTTGTGGATATTGAGGACAGGCTGTCTACAGTTAGTTAGATTACGTATCAAAGCAAACAGAAAGGTATAAGGAGTAAGAAGAGAACACATTTTTAACCTGGAGCGAAGTGAAGCTCAAGAAATAAAAATGCAGAGGTCTAGGTTGATTAGAGAGACAGAGCACCTCTCCTATGAGTAAAGGCTAACAGAATCAGGTTTGTTCAGTCTGGAAAAGAGAAGGCTCCAGTGTGACCTAACTGAAGCCTTCCAGTACCTGAAGGGAGCCCGCAAGAAAGATGGAGAGGGACATTTTACATGAGCATGCAGTGACAGGATAAGGGGAAACGACTTCAACAAGACAGTAGGTTTAGATTAGGTATTAGGGAGAAATTCTTTCCCGTGAGGGTGATGAGGCACTGGAGCAGGTTGCCCAGAGAAGCTCTAACTGTTCAAGGCCAGGTTGGATGGAGCTCTGAGCAACCTAGTCTAGTGGAAGATGACCCTGTCCATGGAAAGGGGGTTGGAGCTACACAGTCTTTACACTTCTTGCAACCCAAAGCATTCTATGATTTTGTTATTCTACGATTCTTAATTCTGAGAAGGAAAAGACAAAAGAGGTCTGGGTAGAAATAAAATCTGTAAGTTAGAATTTAAAATAACCAAATTATTGGATATGCCTTGCTTAGGATGATGAGGTAGAGAGGTGGAGCTAGCAACTCTGTACCACCAATATGTGCATTTGTGTTAAAGACTTAGAGAAACAAACCCCTGAATAGTTACAGATCACTGCTCTAACTAAGAAACCACAAGACAGGGCACAAGAAGAGGTCTGTTATATTGATAGGTATGCTGAAGATAACCAAATAGGACACGAAACAGGTTAGGTACTTTCTTTAGCATTCGAAACAAACAAAAAAAAAGGCAAAAAATCTGTGTAGCAATGAAGGATTCTTATGGGGGTGGCGGATGAATGCTATAACCAGAGGAGAATCCTTAAAGTTTCTAAAAATTGTATCTGATACATTTCTCTTGTAAGAAATTATTAAACCAGTAAATGAAAATGTTACACTAAACTTTTCAGGGCAAAAATGAAATAAAGCTCTGTGTGGTCACTTGCATGCAGGAAATTAAGCCTTGTTACATCTTAATGTACAGAATATTATCCCAGTAGCTATTACAGACACACACAGAAACACAAGGTGCTTTAAAAGTGTCAGCATATGAAGCTGGATATAATAATAATGACCCAAACCGAGTAGAAGAAAATTGTTTAACATAAAATGACTAGGACTAGGAGCAGTTGAAAATATTTTATTAAATGCTAAAAATATAAAAGGTGCATAATCACATAAGAATAATTCACTAATAAAAAAGAAGAGGGGGAAAAAAGAGAGAAATGTAATACCCCCTCTTCTATAGTTTCAAATTTAAAAAAACAACTTTTAGCTCATGAGGATTAAAAAATAAGTGATATGTATGTATACACACATAGAGCAGTTCATTAATAAACATAAATTATTGATACAGAGAATTAAAAATATGAAAGAAAACCAAATGTTGAATGGGAACCATGGCTATAATGAGTAACTGCTTAAACATATTTGGAAGACATTTATTATGATGATGATGATGATGATGACGATGATGTAGTATTAACAATTAACAAGAAAATCTTTAAAACAATGGGGCTATTTGTCATTTTAAAATCAGTCTCAGACCACATTAATCCACCAAAAACATAGTCTAATATCTCTCCAAGACATTACTGTTGTTAAGAAACAATCCTGGAATACTTGGGAAATGCTGGAGAATTGAAAAAAACTTATGAAAAACATTTACTTGTAACTGTTTAAATTAATCTTTAATAAGTGCTGAGAGGTTGGTGTGGCTCACTAAGATCTTCCTGATGCTGAACCTAACTAATGTCATAGAAAAGCAACATGGGACCCAAGATGATGACATAATTAGCACCAGCCAACACTACCATGAAAAATCTGTAATCAAAAACACTTGATAATG